ACTTACTATTCAATTGGTGCAATTTTTCCAAGACAACGAAATTATACAAGTTTTATTTGTGATTGGCGCAATTTTTCTAAAACAACAAAATCATGCAAGCTTTTATTTGTGAAACCCACTTTTAATTGGTATGATTTTCTCAAGACCATGAGAGATTATGCAAGCTTTAATTATAAAACTGATAATGAGATTATACAACTTACTTGATTGATTTTATCTTATCAAGTTTTTATAGCAATAGTATTATTTGTATATCAAATGAACTTTATTTAAATTTAACTCGTGAAACTTAGTATTCAATTGGTGCAATTTTCCCAAGACAACGAAATTATGCAGGTTTTTATTTGTGATTGTGCAATTTTCCTGACAAGATAATAAAAGTATTTAAAAACTTACTATTCATTGGTATGATTTTTTTTATTTTAAATTTTTCTAAGGCAACAAGTTTTATTTGTAATTGGCGCAATTTTCCCAAGACAGCGAAATTATGCAAGCTTTATTTGTGAAACTTATTATTCAATTGGTGCAATATTCCCAAGACAACGAGATTATGCAAGCTTTATTTGTAATACTTACTTTGATTATTTTGCTTTACTTGATTTTTCCATAACAAGTTCTATAGTGAAACTTATTATTTGGTTGCCGCATTTTTCCCAAGACAACGAAATTATGCAAGCTTTATTTGTAAAACTTACTTATCCAATTGGTGCAATATTCCCAAGACAACGAGATAATGCAAGCTTTATTTGTGAATCTTACTATTCAATTGGTGCAATTTTTCCATAACAAACGATTCAATTGGTGCAATATTCCCAAGACAACAAAATCATACAGACTTTTTATTTGTGAAACTTACGACCATAACACCGAGCTTACTTGCCATATCAAGTTTTAGAGTTTTATTAGTGCAATTTTTCCAAGACAACGAAATTATACAAGTTTTATTTGTAATTGGCGCAATTTTCTCAAGACAATGAAATCATGCAAGCTTTTTATTTATGAAACTTATTATTTAATTGGTATGATTTTCTTTAATTATAAAACTTACTATTTAATGATTTAATGATAATGAGATTATGCAAGCTTACTTAATTGATTTTATCTTATCAAGTTTTATAGTATTATCAAATAAACTTTATACAAATTCTACTTGTGAAACTTATTATTCAATTGGTGCAATTTTCTCAAGACACCGAAATTATGCAAGTTTTATTTGTGATGCTGCAATTTTCCAGACAAGATAACAAGAGTATTTAAAAACTTACTATTTATTGGTATAATTTTTCCATAATAATGAGATTATGCAAGTTTTATTTGTGAAACTTATTTTCTTGATTGATTTTCACATTTTATTTTATTTTAAATTTTCTCAAGGCAGCAAGTTTTATTTGTAATTGGCGCAATTTTCCCAAGACGCCGAAATTATATATGAAACTTATTATTCAATTGGTGCAATATTACCAAGACAACGAGATTATGCAATCTTTATTTGTAAAACTTACTATTTAATTATTATGAGATTATTTTGCTTTATCTGATTTTTCCATATAGTGAAACTTGCAAGACAACAAAATTATGCAAGCTTTATTTGTAAAACTTACTAATCCAATTGGTGCAAGACAACAAGATTATACAAGCTTTATTTGTGAAACTTATTATTTAATTGGTATGATTTTCCCAAGACAACCCATGAGATTATGCAAGTTTTATTTGTAAACCTAACTTTTAATTGGTACAACTTTTCTATAATACTGAGATTTTGCAAGCTTACTTGCCATATCAAGTTTTAGAGTTTTATTTGTGTATCAAAATGAATTTTATTCAAATTCTACTTGTGAAACTTACTATCAATTGGTGCAATTTTTCCAAGACAACGAAATTATACAAGTTTTATTTGTGATTAGTACAATTTTCTTAAGACAACGAAATCATGCAAGCTTTAATTGTAAAACTTACTAAATGATAATGAGATTATGCAAGCTTACTTGATTAATTTTCTTTTATCAAGTTTTATAGTATTATTTGTGTATTAAATAAACTTTATTCAAATTCTACTTAGTATTCAATTGGTGCAATTTTCCCAAGACAACGAAATTATGCAGTCTTATTTGTGATTGCGCAATTTTTCATGATAATGATATCATGCAAGTTTTATTTGTAAAACTTATTTTACTTGATTGATTTTCACATATTTTATTTTATTTTTAATTTTTCCAAGGCAGTAAGTTTTATTTGTAATTGCTGCAATTTTCCCAAGACAACGAAATTATGCAAGTATCTGTGAAACTTATTATCCAATTAGTGCAATATTCCCAAGACAACGAGATTATGCAAGCTTTATTTGTAAAACTTATCCAATTGGTACAAGACAATGAAATTATGTAAGCTTTAATTGTAAAGCTTACTATTTAATTAGTGCAATTTTTCTATAACAACGAGATTATGCAAGCTTTACTTGATTTTTCCATGCTAAGTTTTAAAATCTACTATTCAATTGCCGCAATTTTTCCATGACAATGAAATTATATAAGCTTTATTTAAAATTACTATTCAGTTGGTGCAATTTTACCAAAGCAACGAAATTATGCAAGTTTTATTTGTGAGTAGTGCAATATTTCTATGACAAAAAAAATCATGCAAGCTTCAATTGTGAAACTTACTATTTAAATTGAAACTCGCCATTCAATTAGTACAATTTTACCAAGATAACGAGATTATGCAAGCTTTACTTATTATTGATTTCCCATATCAAGTTTTATAGTTTATTTGTGTATTAATGAATTTATTCAAATTCTACTTGTTTCTAACATTTAATATTATCACAATTACTTAATTAGCTAAGACTTGAATTAGATAAAGACTTGTTTAATTAATAACTCCTGAAAGATCATACATCTTTTTTTAAATAGTAAATGATCTTATACACATATATCTTCTGCTTTAGATTGAAAATTACGATTTGCAATTCTTGGGCAAATATTATCACATGATTTTTCGAAACACTCTAAAGTTTCTATGTCACAAGCCTTGACAAATTTTATTATAATTTCTCACCTGTTCTCGTAAACTAACATCTGATTAACGTTATCTGTATTTGGTTACTAGTCTTGTTGATGTTTCTTGTTTGTTCTCATACACAAATATGCCTTCTGCAAAATTCTGCATCAGATTACAAATATTACTAAATTAGTATCTTAGACCATTTGAAAAAAACTTTTTACATATTTAAAAGAATCTGAGAGTTAACAAATGGTGGTTATTGACGTATTCCCATTCTAACTTTTTGATACCTGAACAGACATAGTCAAACGACCGCTTGCTAATTATAACAAATGTTAATCCAAAATTTTGCAAAAGGGAAGTAAATAATTTGATTTATTGTTTTTTGAATGATAATTTTATGTGGTTACTAATAGTTTTTTCTTTTTTTTTTGAGGAAAAGCAAATATAAAATAGCTATTTTAACCGTTCGATCCAACTCGTATATACGCAGAATGGCTTTGATATGGGATAGATTGCTATATTGGCCGCCCTATAATATGATTTTGCTATTCTCAATCAATATGGAATGGATTGCTATATCGGCTGTTCTACATTAATATTTTTACTCTCTTAAATGATGAAAAATGAGTGTTGAGTCACTCTGATTAAATTCTGATAAGAGTTTTTAGTATTTATTTATTTTATAATATTTGTATTAATTTTTTATTTTTTTTAGCATAGGTTGTTTTTTTCTTCAAAAAATTTTTTACTTGATTTTTAACTTAAGCTCAATTAAACTTTAATAATATAAAAATAAATATCTTTTTTTTGCTCTGAAAATTTTATACGTATAAATCATACAATTAACACGTGTTTTCAATGTTTGCATAAATCAAAATATTCTTTGGGCTTTAAAATTTTTTACGTGATATCGATATGTTCTATAAATCTTCAAATACTTAGAATATAGTCAGGATTCTTGACTATGGATATTCTCAAGCACTTCAATCAATAGATCGGAGACAAAGTTTTAATTATTTGGAAATTGAATAAGCCAAACGAGTGAATTATCATTTCGATAAATAAAACCTGGAGATGTATACTATCTTTTTTTTTATAGAGTTGCTCTGATTGGCTAAAATTTAGAATACGCATTTCGCACAATGAATTTTTAACAGGTTGTTCTTTGATTAACCACAATAACTACTCAATTAATCATAATAATTTGAGCGATCATTAGCTAATCACATTGAAGGAGCTACTTGAGAACACCTTGTATTTAGTACTCTGCAAAATCAAGTCAAAATTGTATATGAATCAATATTTTGATCAAAATTTAAAATTTCGATCAAATATGTTCATATATTTGATTCAAATACAAATTTTGACTTGATTTTATGGAGTACTAATGAAGATGCAGATTTATGTATTCAATTTCAACAAATTTGTTATTACTGTAATATCTAATTACCATTTTTTTAGTACGTATAATCTATTCATTAATCTATTTGTTTTTATAATAAGTTGATTAGTTGATTATTTTAAAATCGTGTTAAATTTGTATGTAAATTTATTAGGTTTATTTAGAGGCACTGCCATTCTAAATACTGTGATATGTTGCATTTGGATGCATCACTATTTTTACATAGAGAGAAGTCCTTCAATTATTAAAATTTTAGAACAAAAAAAATTTTGCATGGTAAAAAACTAACATAAACAGTATATGACTTGATGCGACAACTTTATTAAAGTCAAAATTTTATCTAAAAAAAGTCAGATTTTGATAAAATATATTTCATTTATGTCAATATCAAAATTCAAACATGTCTGTATCAAATATGTCTGTATCGAATATGTCAACATCATCATTATTCTCATTATTGAAATATTTTCCATCATCAATTTCAACTTCAATGTTATTGGAGTTGGAACATTTACTGATTTCTTTTTGGATATTACTGGAGTTGGAACATTCATTGATTTCTTCTTGAATAAAAAAATAGAAGCGGGAGAGTGAATAAGATTCTTTGATTTCCTCTCCATCCTGGTTAATTTTAACAAATCTTTCTGAATTATTTGTTGCTTCGATGGCATCTTTAAAACTCGAATAACATTTTCGAGTACGTGAAAGAGAAATTGTTTCAATTCCATTTTTTTCTAGAATACTATTAACTATATTAAAATCTAACGAAAAAAGGTTTAAATTTAGAAATAAAAAAAAAAATTTTAAAAATAGGATAAGAAAACCTTACCAATATTATACTCTTGACATCTTAAAATGATATCTTCAATAATTTTACATAAGGTATGACAAAGATTATTTATCGTACTTTCATATTGTACTTCATTATTTCTATATATCTCAGCTAAATATGAAATTACACTTTTGATAGCTTCATGTTCTATCTTTAAAGTTTCATTTTCTTTTATTAAATCTTTGTTTTCTTTTCTTAATAAATTTATTTTGGCCTGAAGATAAATTTTCTTCTTCTCTAATCTTCTGTTTCTTCCTTCTAATCTTTTAATTTTTATAAACATTAAATTTATTCGATCTGATAATGCGTCTATAAGTTCGATATTATCAGAATACTCTGCATTTGATATCTTATTTTGATATAATTGACGACCATAAAAATTTTTGGTGTGTTCGATATACTTAAAGAAAGCATTCTTAATCTTTTCTGGAGTTGATTTGGGTGAATTAAGAGTATTTGTTAAAAATTTAATGTTTGAGTTTTTGCGAGGCATTTTTTTTCTTAAAGATTTAAAAAATTTGATCATTCATTATATTAAATTTATATTAAGGTCATTCATATGTTCGTATATATATGTACACAAAAAATATTTACAATAAAAATTATACTACATTAAAACGTGAGAAGTAACAAATTACTTGGGGTACATAGAATAATTTTTTATATTGATGTCAGATTTGATCCAAAACAGGTTTTTGAAATATTGTTTTAAATACGTACGTATATGTTAATTTTAATCAACAAACTATCTATAAAAAATGAATAAACTTCTCTATGAAATCCTACATAATATCTTTAAATTATTTTCAAACGACCGACAAAATCTGTTTTCGTTCTTATTTGTAAACTGCAATTGGTGCAAAATCATCATTCCTATTTTATGGTCACATCTGTTGTTTAAACCAAAACTCATTACGGTGATTCTTTCATATTTCAATAAAGAGGATTCAATTCTCCACTTGGACAGAAATTTGCGTAAAGAATATAATGCTTGTCGAATTTCCAACCTTCATGATTAACGCAATCAATACCAATATTGATACCTTAGTCATTAGCTCATTCCCTATTGTCTGAAAAGAATTTACAGAACTACTCATTAGAAACAAATTCATTACTACGTTAAAGTTAATTAATATGGAACTTGAATCCAAATATATTACGCTTGAAAACTTTTGTTTCGTCCAAACGTTGACCATCCTTAAACTTTGTCACTGTAAACTCGGGTCAGATATCAAAACCAAAGTCGCCCACTCTTTGCACCAAAACAACTCCTTAAAACACCTCGACTTAAGTGGAAATTTTACTACCTACAGCAACGGAAACACGATTCTAAATGCCTATATCAAAATACTACCCTAACATATCTAAATTTCTCAAGTAACATGCTCGATAGTAATAATTGTGCCATACTAGCCCAAATGCTTTGTACAAATAACACTCTTCTCTTCTTAAATCTAAACTACAATGAACTAGATAAAGACGGATCCTTGATCGCCGACACGCTTAGCAAAAACAAAATCTTACAATTTTTAGATCTTTGTGAAAACAAATTTTTATTTATCATCATCAAATTATTTTTAAAAAGCCTCTTTCTAAACACCACTTTAATCAAATTAGATCTTTTACGAAACCTTAGCAATAACCAAATAATTCTAATCTAAAATAATGAAGAATATTCTTCAATTCATTCTCAAATTTTCTTTTCAGAAAGTCCATTCGAGTATCAGAGCTAATTTTTTTATCGTGACTTTGTAACAATTCAGTTTATCCAAAGAATTAAAATTTTATTTTATCGTTATGATTTAGTTGAATGGTTTAATTAAATTAAAGATTTATGCATAAATATAAGAATTTATTTCATGTGAATATACTGTTACAATAACATTTAGTATTTAGAATTTTCTTATAATAAATCTTTAATTTTGAAAAAAAAAAATTTTAATATATCTTTATAACATGATTAAAAATAATGTATGCTTGAAAATAAATTTTAATAAATATCAATTTACTAAATCTATTTTGCAACTTAAACTTCTATTACTCTCATTTTTCAGAATTGACCACAATATACAACCTTATTATTAAACTAATATTTACTATTACCTCTTGTCTAGCACACTTTAACACTATATAATCATTATTGTCCAAAGCGTAGCTTAGGAGTCCTAAGCTAGAACATTATACTTATCACAAGATATATATTGTTAACTGTGTAATTAGCCAATCAGCGATAAAAGTTATACTATATACAATAATGTGTTAAATTTGTACCGTTTATCTGATTTTTGATGTAAATCAGGTTTTTGAGATAATAATCTTGAAATATATTGTGCTTTAATTATTGTATTATCTGTTATATACGCATAATGCATATAATCCGGTTCTATCCTTAAATCAAAATCTTTAAAAACCGGTTTATAAATATATATCGATAAAGTAAATTTTTATGAGGATTATATAATTTCTATTACATAAAACTGGACCGGAATTGAACCTAAAATTAGAGTAGTTTTTTATATTGGTTCCAAATTTGGCTTAAATATATTTTCATATACAAAAATTTATTTGATATCGATATTGTTTAATTCAAAAAAAGATAATCTCTTAATCAATTGCTATGACCCTGATGGACAGTTCGAATTTTCGATCTTTTTTAGTGCATTACACAAACAAAATAGAATTTCATGTGATTTTCCACACCAGAAAAGATTGTGAATTATAAAGTATAATTGAGCCACGTTATGTATATGAATCCATATTAATATAATCAGTATCAGATATGATTGTGATTAGACATGTGATTCTGAAGCCTGAAAAGTTTATTATACATGAGATTCCGTTAAAAATATAAATTTTTTGAAGTTTTATGCATTAATCAAGACACTAATGAATTAAGAAGTTTATTGACTGGTCTTGGCAGTAGGTTTTCTCAGTATTATCAGATTTGATTGTGATTAGATGCTTTATAATACTAAAATATCACACATAACTAGTTGATAGTATTGGCAGTAATTTTTCTAGAGAATTATTAGAAGGAATTTTTGATATTGTAGTTGGTTTATTTATTGTCAATATAGAAAAATTGAATGAACTAGATCGATATCACACAAAAAAAGTTTACAACTGACTTTTAACAAAGTAAATTTTATGTGATTCAATCGTTCAAATTTATTAAATTTATTTTAGAGAAATTGATAAATATAAAAAGTAAAATTTCATGTGATTTTGAAGTTTGGCCATATTATTGTATTCACGAAAAAGTCTTTGTAAAGAATACAATGTATTGCAGAACTTTTCTGAGATCCTTCTATCAAAATAAATGATAAGCTAACCAATGAAATTATCAAAATATCAGAATAAATAAAGAAGTAAAATATCACATGATTCTATTGAAATTAAGAAATTTATTTTATACTGTCGAATTACAATAAGAACAGTTTTAATATCAATATTATATTATTCAAATGAGATAATCTTTTAGTAGAGATGTGAACCAAACATTGAACAGATAATATAAATAATCCATAGATTTAAAGTAACCCATAGATTATTTATATTATTATTTAATTATTATAATTTACTACCCTTATATCAATAATGAGTTTGTCAGAAAATATAGAGTATAAAAAAGTAAAGCCTTTTGATATTCTCATAGAATTCATGCTAACTATAAGATATATAAACTTATCTCAGGTTTTGACTCTCCTATTTTGACGCAGATAATGTTTACGATAAATATTATGTGATACATCGATTAGAGCTAGATGATTTTAGTACCATTCGATTTGTCTCATTGAGACAAATCAAATGGTGCCAAAATCATCTGATTCTAATTAGTGGATCACAAGATATTGTTCATTGAAGTTTGTCTAAAAAATATGTTCTTAATTTGTTGTAGTGCCTAATTTGATGCAGGTAAACGTTTACGATCAATATCACATGATATATCGATCAGAATTGCAAAATTTTGGTACCATTCGATTCGTCTTGATGAAACGAATCTATTTTGCAACTTAAACCTCATTTTTCAGAATTGATCACAACATGCAACCTAATTATTAAACTAATATTTACATCATTATTATTGTCTGAAGTGGGCATTTGGATCTGAACAATCACGAGATACACATCTGTCACGCCATGTAATTAGCCAATCACAGATAAAAATTCGTACCATATACGTGTCATCCTTGAAATAAAAATAAATGTACAGTAAATTTTATAATTTTTATACAGTAATCCGTCCGGTTTTTATTCTTGAAATCGAAATCTTTTAAAAACCGGTTTATAAATATGTATCGATAAAGTAAATTTTATAAAAATCATGTAATTTCTATTACATCAAACCAGAATTAAACCTAAAATTAGAGTAGCTTTTATATTGGTTCCAAATTTGGCTTAAATACATAGCAATAGATTTTGTAAATTTTCATATAAAAAATTTATTTGATATCGATATTGTATAATTCAAAGATGATTTCTTAATCAATTGCCATGACCTCTATGGACAGTTCGAATTTTCGATCTTTTTTTTAGAGTATCACACAAAACAAATAAAATTTCATACGATTTCTACACCAGAAAAAAGATTTGTTAATATAAAAAAAGCTACGCGATGTATATAAATCCATATTTGACATAATCAATATCAGATAAGATTGTAATTATAATGGTGATATTTTTACTGAAAAACACGATTCTGAATTCTAAAAAGCTTATCTTACATGATATTCTGCTAAAACCATCAAGTCTATTTACTGATCCCTTATGAAGTTCATCCATTGAATTTCTCTTCTTTTGAGGCATAATACTTTTTATATATGGGAACACCCACAGCAAAAGGGGGATGGGACTATATATTATATAGTTCTATTCCCTCCTTTTGCTAGTTTTCATATGAGTTATTTTATCAAAACGAAGTAAAAAATTCACGTGTTTTTCCAAATTTGTAAGTTTATTGACTAACCATGGTAGGGGTTGAGATCAAATAAAAAAGTAACCTTTTAGAAAATCGTTAAAGAAATTATCCGTTAAATATATTATATAAAAGCTCCAGTTGCCAGATAATTCTTTGTCTAAGAAAAAATAATAATATGCCAGGAGAATACCTTTATTTTTGTACTGAATGTAACAGTGGTTATTGTTTATTGTATGAAGAAAGATACGGAAGAAGAGAGAAGCCACTACAAATTCTTTATCAATGAGAACAATCCATGTATTCAGAACTTTCTAATAATGAATGCCAGAATTATGATATTACTCACCAACATGTTCCTCAAAACATTCAAAACATTCAACCAAATCAACCTAATTAACTTGCTTATGATCCTAGTTTTCAGCATCACCCCAATTCTAATTACTAAC